CGAGGGGTGGTCAGTTGAGGATCCATCCAAACTTTCGATCGAAGAAGCACGCTTAGAGACAAGACACCTTTTGAAATGTCACCATGTTGCAACCGGCTTGCAGATCGGAAAAAAGGCAGCTGCGGTCATTTTGATGACGTTTTTCTTTGCTGCTGCTGTGTGAGTTGCTGCAAGTTGGTGAGCCTCCGACAATTGAGGCCACAAGGACCACATGGTTCGAGCAACCGTGCGGACAATAACCCTGCAGGTCAGGTTTGGCCGAGCTCTGAATCTGACAAAGAAACAAAAACAAGACTGTTGGTGTTGTGCTGTGTTCCTCTTCTGATGCTGAGTTTGTTTCTGGGCTGCTAGCTGCTACTCTTAACAACCTGGAGAATCCCGTGGTTTCATCCCATCAGTGCCTCCTTTTGTGGCTGCTGTGTTTGTGTTTGCGACGGGAATCTACAAATTGTAGACTCTGATAGACGTCAGACTTCCGTCAAGTTTCTACCTTGGTGTATTCGGCGTCCGCCTCTCAGCAATGACTCGCCCAAAGTGTTCGTGAATCAAGAACTGCTGCTTTTCTCCCACGCTTGGAAAACATGTAAGGAACATCTCGCCACTTGACCCTATGCAGGTCTGTTCGACTACAGCACTTTCGTTCCTCATCGTGAATACAGATGAACAGAGGGACATCTAATCTAGACATCCTTGCCTTCGAGAATCCTTCAAAAACGCCTTTGAAGTGCTGGTTTTGCGCTTACGATACCTAACATTGATGTTACCGAAGGCTTCTTCATGGAATGACGTCATCGAACGTGCCTCCTACCACCGGTCTACTTTTCGGCTTCCCAGTGACATTAACTCGGAGGTGTTTCATTTTTCAAAGTCCCCTTGCCATTACCTGCATTTATGCCCGGTTTTAGATGGTTTTAGTAGCAACGATTCGCCGTGAAAAGTGGGAAGGTAATCAGAAAGAATCCATACAACAGCCGATGAAAGCAATTCCAGCCTTCAATCAAGCAAACTGCCTTAGACCCAAAACTGAGTCGACCCAAATCAAGTAATCCTTCCATTCGCAGTTACTCGCGTGAAACCATCAACAGACTCAATTGACAAGCTACAGACCAACAGAAGTTCATCATCCTTTTCTCACTCCAATGCATTTCTTGCCGCATGTTTTGAGCAAGCCATTCTTGCAAGGGTGCGTCAACCTGTGCCCTTTCAAGCTAGGCCCCAGCACTAGTCCCTAGTCACCATTACTAACCCCTCCCCAAAAAAACTTTGCCTGGCATTAGTACGAAAATACGTTTGTTGTTAAGGGGGAGGCTTTCCACAAGAAGGGAATGGGTCGCCTGTAAGATGTCCATCCAACTACATCAAGCTCGTGCATAACGGGAATGCTTGGACTAGTTATACATATTATACATGTTGAGCAATAGAAACTTGAGTCTGGCTTAGGGGGTGGCAGGCTTCGGTTAAAATTGCCCTGGGGCAGTGTTTTTGATGCGCATTTGAGCGCATTCTCTCTTTTGTCTCCAATCTCTTCGTTGTGGGATTCCATTGGCTTTGGTTCTTGTGCATCCACTCAGACTTCTGGAGGCGAAGTGGTGGAATGCTGACATTGTCAGTTTTGCATCGCTTCTTTCGGAGCTTGGTGGCCGCAGGTCTACAGAATAGAAGATCAACCCATGCGACGCTTTGTGCTGCGCCATGCTGCAGAGTGTGGGCCCAAAGAACTGAATAAGTGCAGGTCGGATGCCGCAAGCATTGAAAGTGTTCTGCAACTTTTGGAGCTGCAATGCAAGGTCATACTTTAGCCAGTGGCAATCTTGGAGTGTGATTGCCAACAACCTTTGCCACTGTTTCGATAGGCCATTGAACCAACAGTTTCACTCCCACTGCCATTTCAGGCTGGCATACCACTTGCAAGATTTGTGGCTGGAAGCCTAGCAGCCACTGTAAGTATGTACGGACCAGCTAGACACAGAGTTTCTTAAGGCTCCGACTCAATGCAGCTGCTGCCAAAGTGACGAGTGAGGTGTGCTTTGCGAAGGGCATGTTCAAAGGGATGCGTAGGATACGTTCCAGCGGACGATCCCCATATGCCTGCCAAGTTCCGGCGCTGCCAGGAGGAACTCTCAGCAGTCCGTCGAGAGAATGAATTACAGCAGGACCTACGATTCTTGCCTGAAGTTCGCTATGGACAGCTGATTGCTTTGGGCCCTCAGGATCTTCAGATCTATTTATCCGATGTTTTTGAGTTGGGCATCGAAGAGCTGAATGAGGCCTCCTTAAATGAAGCGGCAGGGGCATGGAGCGGTGAGAAGAGTTTACTGCTCTAGCTGTGTTGGAGCTAATTGATAGAGCCCCGCTTTATTGTAGGGCAGTGGAATGCTTGACAGCGAGGGTTTGCCAGAGGTGCTGGCTGACCGCCTCCTGAATGGTGCTATTCTGCCTTGAGCTTAGAGAACGATCTCATTCGGAGCACAGGTTCAAAGCCTTTGATCATGCTTTCCCTGCAGGCCAGTGTTGCTGGCTGGAGTGTCTAACGCTTCACCTCAGCGCTCTGGAAACACAGCAACTTGGCCTGTGTTACTAGTAGCAAGAGTGCTACTAGTAGTAATGCCAGGAGCCCCTAGTAGCATCCTTGCTCCTAGTAGTAAGGCCAGGAGCCCCTAATAGCTTGTTTGTCAGAGTGGCAGTTTAGCAGTTTGTCTAATTTGCAGCCAAGGTGAGAACCTTGTCGTCACATGTGGCACTTTTTCTCATTCGTCAGGCTGGTCTGGTGTTACTTACTGCCAATTTTTTTGTTGACTAACAACTGTCGAACCATGTCGAAACGCCTGAGCTGGAAGGTTCTGGACACCTTCCATTGCCCGGTTCTTGTGGACCGCAAATGGGTAAAGAGCCAGCCACGAGAGGTTGTTTACTGTTTGCGTTCACACACCCTGGATTTGGCTTGTCATCAGAGTTCAGAGCACAAGGGCAGAAAGCGGTCAGGCTGCAAACCAGCCCAATGCAGTAAAAGTTCTTGCAACTCGGTAGTAGTTCATGATGGACAGCACAATCATGAACCCAGGACTTTGCAGCTTCTTAAAACTTCTTTGCCTGAATGCTTGCACTGTGCTCTGCCGTTTGCAATGGCAATGCACCTCAAAAGCGCTTGTCTAAGAGCAAGGACGGAGCTTCTGTCGGACAAACATTTACATCACGAGACAAGAAGCCGGCGTGAAAAGGCATGTGCAATTTTTCTTTATATTTCTGGATCATGGTAGCCGTCTTCAAAGAGCCTCTCAATTGAAGGTTCGCAAATCGCCGTCTTCAAGGAAGCTACTTGGCAATCGTGCAGACCTCACGGCTTCGGAGTGAATGGATTGTGTTTCTATTTTTTTTGGGGATAGGCCGCTAGGCTAGAGGTAGAGGTAGGTGGTAGGGTAGTAGCTAGAGCTAGGGATAGGTAGCTAGTAGTAGCTAGGTAGCTACTAACTACTGGACGCAGGATAGCTCGCGCTCCGCCCTACGGCGGAAGCTTCCTTGAAGAAGCGCTTGCACTAATGATTTGGTTCCTAGATTGTTAGGGAAACTTAACTAGTAGCTCGTGTGATTGTGCTTGGGGCTTGGCTTTGGCCTGCCTCTCTCCCCCCCTCTCTCTCTCTCTCTGTCTGTCTGTCTGTCTGTTTGTCTCTGTCTCCCTGTGTTCCCGGGGTGTTTCTCAGGATTTCTCTTAGTACGAGATTTTAGTTTTAAAGCAGACGGTCTTTCCAATGAGAAATGATTCCAAATTTATCCTCAAAGATATAAGATAACTTGCAAGAAGTCCACTTGATACATGTTTAATCATTTTGATACAACGTGAGCATGGGGATGAACGGTTTCCGGACAAACGTTGCAAGGTTGAGGGGAGGTCTGGGTAAAGAGCAAATGGCAAACGACATCATAAGGTGTTGTCCAGTGTGGTGGGCACTCGAGTCTGAACCCTTCAGCTTTCTGATGGAAAGGCGACAAATTGGCTATAGTCAAATCCAGATGGTAGGCAGGAAACTGTTCAGCCCAGAGTT